GAGTATTTTTGGATTTTATTACTCTTGAAGATATGTCTTTTATCAATCAGTGGGATAAAGACCTCACTTGTGATCTTTTGTTTCAATGAAATTTTGTATGTACTGGTAAGATTAAGCACATATACAAACATAATTTTGTAAAATTTTACAAATATTGTCAAAACTATTTGAAATTGACGTTGCTATTAAAGACATATTTTAAACTCATACAGTTTTATGGGAAATATTTAAGATATTTTTTCATGCGCCCGGATTGATAGATTCCGGGTGTATATTGTTTTTGTCCTGTCTGTTTGTCTTTCTGTCTGTTGTCAACTTTAACCTTCGCCATAACTTTTGAACAATAAGAGATAGAGACTTCATATTTGGTATGCATACTCCACTAATAGAGTCCTTTCAAATGACATCAAGGTCAATGACCTTGTGACTTTGACTGACCTATATGCTAAAAATAGCTTTTTCCTCTGTTTGTCATAACTTTTGAACCATAGGAGATAGGGACTTCATATTTGGTATGCAAACTCCACCGTTAAAGTCCTTTCAAACGACGGCAAGGTCAATGATCTAGTGACCTTGACTTTGACCTGTATGCTAAAAATAGCTTTTTACACTTTTTGCCATAACTTTTGAACCAAAGAAGATAGAGACTTCATATTTAGTATGCATACTCCACCGATTAAGTTCTTTCAAATGACACCATGGTCAATGACCTTGTGACCTTGACTCTGACATATATGCTAAAAATAACCTTTTCCACTGGTTGTCATAACTTTTGAACCATAGGAGATAGGGACTTCATATTTGGTATGCATACTCCACAGATAAGGTCCTTTCAAACAACGGCAAGGTCAATGATCTTGTGACCTTGACTGTGACCTATATGCTAAAAATAGCTTTTTACACTTTTTGCCATAACTTTTGGACCATAGGAGATAGGGACTTCATATTTAGTATGCATACTCCACCGATTAAGTTCTTTCAAATGACACCATGGTCAATGACCTTGTGACCTTGACTGTGATCAATATGCTAAAAATAGATTTTTTTAACTTTGTTGCCGCTGGGCGCATAGTGTTTCACAAACACATCTTGTTCTTTTATTTTTAGGTCACCTGAGTAAACTCAGGTGACTATTCGTTTTTGTCCGTCGTCGTCCGTCGTGCGTTGTGCGTCGTGCGTTAACATTTAAACATTTTCAGCTTCTTCTCTGAAACCACTGAACCAATTTCAACCAAATTTGGCATATAGCATCTATGGGTGAAGGGGAACAAAAATTGTGAATTTCATGGTCTCCGCACCCCTGGGGCCTGGGGGGTGGGGCAAAAACCATTAAAAATAGTGCAATCTTTAAAAATCTTCTTCTTTACTCCCGGACATCAAGCAGTCAAACTGTTGGTATGATTGTAATCAGCATTGAGTCCTCTACCAAAATTGTGAAATTCATGGCCCCAGGGTCAGGGGTTCTGGTGTTAGGGCAGGGCTCTATTGATTATATAGTGAAAATGCAGTAAGTCTTTAAAAATCTTCTTCTCTGCTCCTGGGTATTAAATAAACAAATTAAGTTCATAGATATGATGAGCAAGAGTTGCTCTACCAAATTTATGAATTTTATGGCCCCAAGGTCAGGGGTTCTGGTGTTAGGGCGGGGCTCTATTGATTATATACTAGTGGAAATGCATTATTTCTTTGAAAATCTTCTTCTCTGTTCCTGAGTATTAAATAAACAAATTAAGCACATAGTTATGATGAGCAAGAGTGTCTCTTCATAAATTGTGAATTTTATGGCCCCAGGGTCAGGGGTTCTGGTGTTAGTGGTGGGGCTCTAAATTGAATATATAATGAAAATGCATTAAATCTTGGAGATCTTCTCTGCTCCTAGGTATAAAAAACACTTATTCAGTAAATAATTATGTAAGCAAATGTGCCTCTATCAAAATTGTGAAATTCATGGCCCCAGGGTCAGGGGTTCTGGTGTTAGGGTGGGGCTCTATATTGATTATATAATGAAAATGCATTAAATCTTTGAAAATCTTCTTCTCTGCTCCTAGGTATTAAATACACTAATTCAGTAAATAATTATGATGAGCAAGAGTGCCTCTATCAAAATTGTGAAATTCATGGCCCCAGGGTCAGGGGTTCTGGTGTTAGGGCAGGGCTCTATTGATTATATAGTGAAAATGCATTAAATCTTTGAAAATCTTCTCTGCTCCTAAGTTTTAAATAAACTAACTAAGTACATAGTTATAACGAGCAAGAGTGCCTCTACCAAAATTGTGAATTTTATGGCCCCAGGGTCAGGGGTTCTGGTGTTAGGGTGGGGATCTATTGATTATATAGTGAAAATGCATTAAATCTTTGAAAATCGTCTCTGCTCCTAGGTTTTAAATAAACTAACTAAGTACATAGTTATGTTGAGCAAGAGTGCCTCTTCCAAAATTGTGAATGCCTTAGCATCTAGCTTAAAACATGAAACAAATTCAATCATTTGAAAGTTGTTGCATGATGCTCAGGTGACCTATAAGGCCCTTGGGCCTCTTGTTTTCTTTGATTGTTGTTTAACCTTCCTCTCAAGAATTTTTCACTAATATGGAGATGCCACCACTTGGTGATGTAGAAATTTTCAAATTTTGTCCTATATTTAGCACTTAGAGCAATGAATGATGTTTTTGATGCCAATACTTACTGCAATGTGTCGTCGGTTTATACGGTCTCATCCAAAGAACCGGTCTCTACGTCCCATAGTGGGATTTAAACTGGCAACGTAAGGACTAACTTCTAAATCACAACTCTAGAGCAGATGCTCTAGTCACTACGCCATACGGGCGAAAATAAAATGATGTTATTAGACTAGGACATATTGTCATGTTGTATTACTACATGTAATGAATTCATGTGCTATAGATGTATTTCTTGTTCATAGTTTAAAGAATATAATGTACTTAATGCAAAATATTACAATGGTTTTTAAGGTTGATTGTCTTAATGTTGCTCTGCAATTGAACACATATAAGAGGGAAAATATCAGGTGTTGAGGTATAAGTAGATCATTATAAAGGGAAATGGTAAGTAATATAGAGTACATGTTTGTCTGGATAACTCTTACATATTTTCAAGATATTTTTATTATGCTCATGAGTTGCACATGTACAAGAAATATGCATGGACACTGTCATTATATTCATATTCAGATGGGAGGTGGGGGTATCATTAAGTGAGCTCATTGTTCACAGTACCTTAAGTTTACAATAGTATTCATTTTAACATGACCTTTCTTTGGATAAAATCAAATTTGACTTCTTTATCTTGGAATTTGACCACTTTTTTGCAAAATATTAAAATCCTTAACCATGGCGGCTGGCCATAACCTCTGAGGAATTTGTGCTAGGGCCTTTATACTTCACATGTGTATTTTTTGTGACAAGTCCTTTCAACGGGTACAAATATTTTTTTACCTCTTGAACTTGATGTTTGAGTTTGACCCACTTTTTATACCCCTGTCTTAAATCGGGACGCATTATGTTTTAGGCTTTGTGTCCGTCTGTTAGCTTTTCTCGTGTCCATCTCATAACTTTAGTACTATAAGACCTAGAGTTATCAAACTTTGTCAGCTGATACATCTTGGGTAGAAGGTGTGTCGCGCACAAAATTTAGGTCGATCTGACCTGTAATTAAAGAGATATAGCCAAATATGGAAAAATCCTTTCCAGTCCAATAACTAGAAAACTAATAGACTTAGAATCAAACTTGGCTAGTTTATGCATCTTAGGTAAAACTTAGAAGGTGCGTCACCATCTATTTCAAGGTCACTGTGATCTTTAATTTAAATGAAATTTAAAAAAAAATGTGTCTTTTTTCTTTTCATTTACACCCCCCCAAAAATTTAAGAGTATTGAACTATCCTTATTAAAAAAAGATGTGAAATCAACTTGACAAGAAATGAAACTGTTTTATCTGTCTGTCCATCCATGTGTCTGTCCATAATAAATTTTAGTCACATTTTTCTCAGCAACTACTGATCGCAGATGCTGGAAATTTTAACGTAATCTTCTCTGAGGCATGCCATAGGGTGGGATACATTTTTAGCTCACCTGAGCTTTAGGCTCAAGTGAGCTTTTCTGATCACATTTTGTTCTTCGTCTATCCGTATATCTGTCCGTCTGTAAACTTGTCACATTTTTGACTTCTCCTAAGAACCAATGGACCAATTTTGACCAAACTTAGTACAGAGCATCCTTGGGCGAAGGGAAATTTTAATTGATAAAATGAAGGGCCAAGTTCCCTCACAAGGGGAGATAATCAAGAGAAGACATAAATAGGGTGGGGTCATTAAAATATCTTCTCAGAAACACTGGGCCAAAAAAGCTGAAACTTATGTGGAAGCATCCTGGGGAAGTGTAGATTCTAAATTGTTCAAATCATGACCACCCGGGGAAAGGGCAGGGCCACAATGGGGAATCAAAGTTGACTTTATATATAGAAAAAATCTTTGAAAACCATCTACTCTAGAAGCACTAGGCCAAAAATGCTGAAACATGTTGAAGCATCCTGGGGGTAGTGTAGATTCTAAATTGTTGAAGTCATCACCCCTGGGGGTAGGGTGGGGCCACAATGGGGAATTAAAGTTTTACGTAGAAATATATAAGAAAAATCTTTGAGAATTTTCTTCTCAAGAACCACTGGGCCAGAAAAGCTGAAGCTTACATGGAATCATCGTTGGGTTGTGTAGATTCTAAATTATTAAAATAATGACTTCAGGGGGTAGGGCGAGGCCACAATGGGTAATCAAATTTTATGTTGAGGAATCAAAGTATCTTATTGTAGTTTAGATTTCAAATTTGTAGATTATGATCAATGAGGTAGGGTGGTGTCACAATGTGTATACAAGGGGGAAATCTGGTAGAGAATGGAATAGTCAAAACTTTCGAATGAGTGATGTGGCCCATGGGCCTCCTGTCTTCAGGGTAGTTGTAGTTATTTGTAGTATATCAATATTTTTTCAGATGGCAAAGAAAAGAAAAATGTCTGCAAGACAGAGAATGATTCAAGACAAGTTGAGAAAAAGAGAAAAGAGGCAAAAGTCTGCAGGAATTCTGCCAAATGAGGTCACAGCTTTGACGTCACAACAGTCTGCTGTTCCTTGCGGGACAGTGGATGGAGCTGATTCAGCTCCTCCCGGTAATTTTCCGGGGCTTGGTTCGATGGGGTTTCCACCTAAAGAGGAAAAACCCCTGGCCAGGGTGCAGGCCTCACCTCGAGTGAAAATGCATTCACCTGCCCCGAGGTTGCCATCTCCTCGGGGAAGTCGTCTGTTTGTCCATGACGAGGACAAGGCACCGTCCACTGACTCCCCACCGTGGGTTTGTGCTCCACCGAGGGCACCTGGATCGGACATAGTGCATATGTCTGGTCCAGCAGGACAGGCGCAGCTGGATACCTCCAGGATGGAGGAGACCAGTAGAATATCAAAAGATGAGGGCACTTTAACGAATTCTGAACTGGAAACTATACGAATATCAAACAGAAACTTGAACAAAAAACCTGATATTATAGAAAGTATAAACAGAGAAAGAGATATGTTGGAGTCTGTAGAAAGTATGTTGGGTTTCAGAGATGATACAGAGATTATAGAGAATGAGTTGAAAAATGAAGGAAAGAAAGATATGAAATTAACAAGTGAAAGAATTTTTCACAGGAAAAAGAGTAAGAACATAAGAGATTTGAAGGTACAAAGTAATCAGAAAGAAAGTACTAGTATGCTGGATTGTGCTTGTGAGGAGAATACAAATTTAGAAGCAAGAAATTCATATACTGTGTCTGTCCAGGGCTCTTTCCATCAAGCTGATCCTATGTTTGGTGACAATGCAGGGACTCAATGTGTGGCAAATTGTCTATCAGCTATAGCTTATCATGTTCTGAAAAGTGCAAAAATCTGGCAAACAGCTGATGTCAACAAAGTTTTAGTGAATGGGGATGAACTATACACATACCTGCAGAACAGTTCAGCAGTTACAAGTAGATATTTGTTAGTTGAAGAGTTGCCGCAGTATTTTGAATGCTTCAGTAAAACATTTGATTTCACAGTGAAGGTATCAGTACCAAGTTTTATCAGCTTATCAGAGGAGGAACCATGTTATGAAGATTTTAATGCTTTTCCCCTTTTTGAAGCTCTGCAAATGACACTTCATGAAACAGTCGGATGTTTTGTATGTTTTGGGGGAAATACTTTGGTAGTTGGAAAAACAACTGATGGATTTTTCGTATTTGATTCCCATTCAAGATGTTCTCGTGGCTATCTTAGTGTGCATGGAAAGAGTACAAGAATTTTATTAGAGAATGTTCATGATGTTTATTTGCACTTAAGGTCATTAGCAATTTCAATGGGTTTTTCAAGGACTGTTGAATGTGAACTAACAGGGGTATTATGTTCCTTGAAGACTTTTGCTATGGCTGAAGTGTATGAACAAGAAGAAGCTGAGATGGATTTAGGAGCAGAAATAGGTTTGAATCAGGATGTATTATCAACAGAACAACAAGAGATGTTACAGACAGATGAATTGATTTTTGTGGGCGAGGAAAGCAAGCAGCATGATTTCATTCCTTTATCTGTTCAGAATCAGAAGGATTTGTGCAAGAAAATGGGGTTTTCATATGTTGCTTTAGGATATCACAACAGTTCAGTATCTGTAAGAGATATGGGTGTGCCTAGAAGCTGTAAAGATATTGAAAGAGATGGAAATTGCTTTTTCAGGGCTTTATCATTTAGCTTGACAAACTCTGAAAACTATCACAAACAAATTCGTGAAGCTGTTTGTCAACATTTGCTTGAAAATGAAACAGAATTTCGAAAATTTATGCGATCAGAGGGATCTTTGCGGTCATACTTGCTCTCAAGTAAAATGACACTCGAAGGTATATGGGCAACGGAATTGGAGATTCTTGCTACAGCACGTATGTTGAATGTAGACATATATACTTACTCAGATACGAGGTGGCTTCAGTTCAATGGGCATGATCTGTGTGCTGAATCAGGAAATCAGGGAGAAGCAATTTATTTATATCACAGAGAACAAAATCATTATGATGTTGTTTTGCAAGTGACATCAAGGTTGGCAGAGATTGACTGTTTCCTCATGAATAATCCCGGTGGAAGAGAATATATCCTTCGAAAAGAAAACCAAATGCGTATGAGAAATAGGCGCAAGGCTCCAGAATTAAAAGTTATGGTGGACTCGAATGAAAATCGCAAGGCTGCACTAAAGAAAAAATATCAGGAAAATGAGGAGTTCAGGGAAAAAATGTTGAAGCATAAAAAGAAAATGTATACAAATGCAGACTATAAGTTGAAAGCACAACTGAGCAACAGGCATCGTTATCATGGAAATATTGCTTACCAGTTGAAATATGCCTTAAATGCTGAGCACAGAGGAAAGGTGCTGAAAAGGAGTAAAGAAATAGGTAAAGAAAAGTATCGAACAGATTTGAAATATAAAGAGCAAAAGAAGATACAAAGTGTTGGAAAATATAACTTGGACTTGAAGCACAGAGAATTTGCCAAAAAAAGAAGTAAAGAAAAATACAGAACAGATTTGAAGCATCGGAATAATGTGAAGGGGGCAAGCGTAAAAAAGTACAAGACAGACTTGGAACACCAGAAGAATGTTAAGGAAGCAAGTACTGAAAAGTACAGGACTTACTTGGAACACCAGTTAAAAGTTAAGAAAGCAAGTACTGAAAAGTACAGGACTAACCTTGTGCATAAGACCAATTTAAAACGAACAATATTGGATAAATACAAGGCAGATGAATTCTACCGAAAAAAGAACAAAGCTGCCAATGTTTCTAGGTATCGAAGGAATGAAGCTTTTAGAGCTGAAAAGAAAGAGCAAGCTGGAAGAAGATATCAATTAAACGCTGAAGTTCAATTACACACGAAGAATCGTGGCAAGACTAGCTACAAGTCCTCCCCTGATGTTCAAGAGAAAAAAAAGAGAAGAGTACAACAGAATAGGAAAATAAAAAAAATCAATATGAAACAGGCAGAGGAAGTTTTAAGATCATTTAAAGAAAATTCATCGAAAGGACCAGATTATGCATGTACCTGTTGTCACAGACTGTTGTTCAGAAATCAAGTACAAGTTTGTGAACATCAAATGTATGAAAAAAATGAAGCAGCAAGAACTATCTCACATATTTGTTTGCTAGGCAAGTATTTCCATGAGTGTTCTCAATCATGTCCAGAAACATGCACCAAATCATCATCATGGATTTGTTACACTTGCCATAGGAAAATATTAAGTGGCAAAGCACCACCAGAGGCTGCTGCAAACAATATGACATTAGAGGATATTCCACCTGAATTAGCCAACTTAAACAGCTTAGAACAACATCTCATTGCACTTCACATACCGTTCATGAAAATCATGGCTCTCCCACATGGTGGACAGAGGAATGTACACGGACCTGTTATTTGTGTGCCCTCAGACATGAGAAAAACTTCCAGTTTACCAAAGCAAGAGGATGATGACTTGTTGTTGCGGGTGAAATTGAAAAGGAAACTGGCATACAAAGGTTATTTTGAATATCAATTTGTTAATTCAAACCATGTAATGTCAGCATTGTCATACTTGAAAGAGAACAATCAGTGGTACAAAAATGTCATAATTGAATCCACTCGGAAAGATGACATGGAAATTCCTGGGCAAATGACTGATTGTGAAGAAGAAAATGAAGAGGGTAATGAGAACAATGATCAAATGATAGCATTTGACACTTGTTTACAACCCGTAGATGTTGCGCAAGAAGTTTTGGACCATTATTTCGATGATGTGTACAACATTGCACCAGGTGAAGGGAAGAATCCTGTGCGAATGCTACAAGAGCCTGGAAATGAAGCAAAAGCGTTTCCTTGTCATTTCCCAAGCGGAAGATTTTCTTGGAATGAAGAAAGATCACAAAAATTAACACTATCTAGGTATTTTAACAATAGGTTAATGAATGCGGATAATAGGTTTGCAAAGGACACAAATTACATTTTCTTTAGCCAGTACATGTCCGAACTCAACCAAGTGATTGAAAAAACTCAGATTTCACTCAGGAAATCTTTGTCAAAATGTTCTAGTGGGAAACAAGTGACAGCGAATATGCTTCAAGATCCAACTACGCTCGCTAGTTTGTTGAGAAATGATGAGGCAATAAGGTTCATGCAACCGATAAGAGGAACACCCGCATATTGGGCAACTGCTCAGAAAGATCTCTTTGCAATGTTGCGGCAGTTAGGAATCCCAACCTGGTTTTGTTCTTTTAGTGCTGCAGAATATAGATGGAATGATGCAGTTAGGGCTATATTAAGGCAGCAGAGTGATGACAGAAATCCTGATGAAATGGAATGGTCAGAAAAGAATGAAGTTTTAAGGTGCAATCCTGTAACAGTTGCTCGAATGTTCGAACATAGATTTCAGGTATTTCATAGAGAGGTCATTCTTTCACCATGTGAACCAATTGGAAAAGTGGTAGACTTTTTCCAAAGAGTCGAGTTTCAGCAGAGAGGATCACCACATATGCATTGTTTATACTGGGTTGCAAATGCACCTAAAATTGACTCTGATGGAGAGGAAGTTGTGTGTAACTTCATTGACAAATATGTAACATGTGGCATACCCTTGGAAACTGATGACGCACAGCTGAGAAAAAGTGTCCTGGATGTTCAACAGCATAGCAAGAATCATTCAAAATCTTGCAAGAAGAAAGGCACTGACTGTAGGTTCAATTTCCCAAGGCCTCCATCCCAAAGGACATTTATAACAATTTCCTCAGAAGAAGAGAACATAGATAAGTCTGAAACAGAGGCTAGAGAGGAGAAACTAAACAAAGCATATGCAAAGGAAATTTTGCTTAGTGTATGGGATAAAATACAAAATGATTGCGAAGGAAAAACAACAAAAGAAGTATTTGATGACCTTTCACTAACTCAAGAACTATACGAAGAAGCGTATAACATGTTAACAGCAAGGAGGTCAATTGTTCTGCAACGTAACCCAAATGAGGTATGGACGAACCAATATAATCAGTGTCTTTTGAAATGCTGGGATGCTAATATGGACATTCAGTTTGTTTTGGATCCTTTCAGTTGTATTGTATACATCGTTTCCTACATATCAAAATCAGAAAGGGAGATGGGCATGTTACTGAAACAAACAAAAATAGAGGCAGAGGAGGGAAATCTCAATGCTCGACAGACAATGAAAAAAATTGGATCTGCATACTTAAATCACAGAGAGGTCAGTGCTCAGGAGGCTGTTTATAGGGTGTGCAATCTAAAAATGAAAGAATGTTCAAGGAAAGTTGTTTTTATTCCCGTTGGTGACAATCCATTACGCTTAAGCAAACCACTGTCTTTGATCAAAAAGAAATCAAATGATGAAGAAATAATCAGTGATGAAGATGATGATGAAAATGATATCTGGATGACAAACATAATTGAGCGTTATGAGAACCGTCCTGATAAGCCAATGTTCCATGACATGTGTCTCGCCAACTTCTGTTCTGAATTCAGAGTACTTGCTAAATCTCAAGTTCCAAAAAAAGAAAACGAGAATGTGTTCGAACTGCAGAATGGTAAGGGATATGTGCAACGCAGAACACGAACACAGCATGCTGTTGTAAGGTATCCGAGATTCAATGTTGAGAATATGTCGGAAAAATATCATCGATCTATATTGCAACTTTTCCTCCCCTACCGAACAGAGAAACAATTGAAGCCTCCAGGATTCGAATTATATGAGGATTTTTATGAAACTGGTCATGTGAAAATTAAAGGGACAAGACGACTGCAATCAGTGAAATCAATAGTAGATGTGAATCGTTCCCATTATGCACAAAATGAACAGTCCTTGGACATAGCTCAAGAAGCATATGAAATGAATGGTGAACCAGAGGATGCATGGTCACGCATATGTCCAGAAACAGAAGTACTAAGGAGAGAAGGTATAGCACAGAGAAAAGAAAACACAGTGCAACAAGAGAATGATACGGAAGCTATACCAGATATGGAAAATGAGATGAATAATGCAGATGTGCTGTATCATGTTCACCAAAATGTTTCTTCAAGAGATGAAATGTTACCAGTTCTCCAAAATTTGAATGAAAAACAGAGTGAGATATTTTATTTGCTTCGAGAGTGGTGTTTAGCAAAGATAAATGGCAAAAAAATTGAACCTCTGCACTTATTTGTGACTGGTGGTGCCGGCACTGGTAAAAGTCATCTCATAAAAGCAATTCATTATGAAGCGTCACATTTGCTTTCTAGAATGACGTCTGAACCAGAAAAGGTTACTGTACTTCTTTCGGCATTCACGGGAACAGCAGCCTTCAACATTGGTGGAAACACGCTTCATCACTTATTTTCACTAACAAAATATATGCCATTGCCATATGAGCCATTAGGAGAACAAAGCCTTAGTGAAATGAGAGTAAAAATAGGTGACATACAGATTCTTATCATTGACGAAATATCAATGGTATACAAAAAGCTTCTGTATTATGTACATGAGCGGCTAGTGCAAATTAAAAAATGCAAAGACCCATTTGGAGGTGTTTGTGTTATCGCAGTGGGGGATTTCTATCAACTTCCTCCAGTGAAGCAGCGGAAAAATGAGAGACTCTATAAAGAAAATTTGAATTATCCTGTGGATTACTGGTTTGACTTTTTTAAAGTCATCGAATTAAACCAGATAATGAGGCAAAAGGAAGATACGTCATTTGCCGAGGTGCTAAACTCTCTTCGTGTAAGACAGACAAATGAGCCATTAACAGAGGTGCAAAATTTGATGTTAGAACGGTGTATCAGAGAAGGACCAGACGATGTTCTTCATGTGTTTTGCACAAACGAAGAAGTAAACACATTCAATTTGACAATGTTAAGAAAGACGTGTGAAGATTTATTAGAAATTGATGCAGAGGATTATAAGAAGGACAAAACATCTGGAAAACTGATTCAGAGAAACAAACCCTTCATAAAATCAACAAGTGATGGCCTTCCGAACTCCTTACTATTGTCCATTAATGCAAGAGTTATGCTCACAAGAAATTGTAATGTGGAAGATGGACTTGTGAATGGAGTAATGGGTAATGTTTCCCAATTCCAATACAAAGAAAACAATGCAACATGTGTTAGAGCTGTAGGAGTGGTTTTTGACAATAAGGAAGTTGGAAGAAAGTTAGGACAAAAAACAAAAGATGGAAACATGGTGTTAATTGAAAGAATCCAAGAAGAAATAAAGGAGAAAACAGCTTCAGTGGTTAGACATCAATTTCCTCTTCGGCTATCATGGGCATGTACTGCTCATAAGGTGCAAGGAATGACCACAGACAGAATAGTTGTGAATTTAGACAGAGCATTTGCTCCTGGACAGGCTTATGTTGCATTATCAAGAGTTACATCAGAGGGTGGCTTATTTATTGAAACAGAAGATGCAGCAAAACTTAAGAAAAAAATTTATGCTGATCCAGAAGTAAAGACAGCTTTAACCGAAATGCCGAAATTTATTTTTGACGACCTTTTACAGGCCTTGAAATCCAGTGGGATCAAAGTAGTCCTTCAGAATATCCAGAGCTTAGGAAGACATTTTGGAGATTTGAAAAATGATGAGAGGTTCAGAAATGTTGATATCATCTGCCTAACAGAAACATGGTTAAGGTCTGGGGTGAACACAGAACATTTAGTGTTGAATGGATTTCAATTGCATCACCTTCCTAGACAAGAGGCATATGATGACAATACTGTCTTAACACAAGAATTGCGCAATTCAAAAGGTGGAGGAGTTGCATTATATTTGAGAGATGACAGTGGTCCTTTTGAACCCCTTCCACTCCCACAGATGAATATTGAAGCTATGGCTCTAAAATTACCAAAGGAAGAAATTGTGATTGTGGTTGTCTATCGTCCATGCAAGGCAAAGATGACAACTTTCCTTCACAGCCTGCAGAGAGTACTTGACTTCACAAGGTCAGTTTATCCAGATTGTATTCTCATGGGGGACTTTAATGAGAACGCGAAATCTGATGGTCCAGTTCAAAGATTTTTGAAGGATCAAGACTTCTGCCAAGTTGTAACTTTCAGTACTACCGACGGGGAGACCATATTGGATCATGTTTACACATCCAATTCAATACAGATCGAGCTCAAAAGATTGCCAACATACTACAGTTATCATGATGCTGTATTTGTTAAATTCCTAGAAAAATAATGGACTTGATTTGAATTCAAGAAGTCTTCTTGTTCCCTTCAGTATCAGAGGATTTTTTACTTTCCTTGACTGTATTCCTGTTCAGAATGAATTTTCATTGGCATATTTCGAATGCTTTTAAGCCATTAATTAATGCACAGTTCTAGATTCACTGATTGTTTTTATTTTTTCGAGAAAATATAGACCTACACCTGTGCAAGTAAAGGAGATCCTAAAATAAAAGTAAGCTAATAACTTTATCAGGAATATACAAGATTGCACCAAATTTCCAACAGCGATGATGATTATACATGTAGTGTAATCTATTTGAAAATAATCATGAAATCATTAAAAATACAGGATCAGAAAGGAACAGTTCGATTAAGTTAGAGAGCACATGAGAATATTATTCACTTAGAGATCATTTAGATCAAGTAAGGAATAAACATTTTAGTATTGTACTCTGACATTTTTGCGAAGGAGGTGGATTTGATTGATGACAATCTGCAGTTAGCAGATATTGCATATATATTTTTTGTCCTAAAATTGCAGGGATATGTATTTATTTATGTAGTTTAGTGATGGATATGGACAAGCTTTGAGTTAGATTACATCGGAATCCGGTGGTCATGATAATAGTAGAAGTTTTGTTATATTAGCTTACTTATCATGCCATACGTTTTGGTGTTCTGTCTTATTACAACATGACGAGTAGCCCTGGTAATTACAAAATGGTATTCGTTATTGAAAATCTACACTTTGTGTACCCTTTTTAAAGTACTGAAATTATTATAAAGTTTCTAGAAATCTTAATTGCTCAATGACTTCATTTAAATTATTAAACCAGAAACATAAATATTTAATGCTTGAATATTATGAAAACCGAGCTGTTCAGGGCATATACATATGACTTAACAAGAAAAAAACCTCATTTGATTTAAATCTTGAAGTGGAAAGCGCTTATCAATGGGATATTTTGAGTTTTCCACTGGGTTTTCTGATGGGTAAAGTTGTCTTTTGAATCATTTATAAGCGTTGGCAGTTGTTCCCTTTGTTGTGTGGAACAGTACATGTATATATGATTATGTTTAGTTTAAAAAACATAAAATTTGATCAGATTTTCTGAAGTTTACTGACTTTACTTTCAATCTTGGTTGTAAAAATCATTCAAAATACATGATTTGAATTTTTTGAACGTAATGTCAATGGGTAAAGTTGTCTTGTGAATCATTTACAAGCGTTGGCAGTTCTTTCCTTTGTTGTGTGGAACAGTACATGTATATATGGTGATATTTAGTTTAAAAAACAAAAATATTGATAAGATTTTCTGAAGTTAACTGTCTTTACTTTCAATCTTGGTTGTAAAAATCATTCAAAATACATGCATGATTTGAATTCAAGCAGACTTATTGTTCCCTTCAGTGTCAGAGGATATTTACTTTCCTTGACTATATTCCTGTTCAGAATGAATTTTCATTGGCATATTTCGAATGCCTTTAAGCCATTAATT